GGCAGAGTTCAGTTTTAACAAAGAGTACTTGGTAACAAGTAATCTGTTTTTCTAACCTCTAATCCATAACAACCAGTAGCACCGATTTGTTCAATATGGGAACTGAGTACAAAAATGTGTATAAAAAGTTCAATGCAGCACCAATTGATCTTCTTCATCTTTGTTAGTAAATTATTGCTTCCATTGTATGCCTTCTGTTTTTATTTTTGGTCGTAAATATGCATTTTGTTCCATGAAAACAACTTTGATTCAGATTAAGATCCTTGATTTGAGCTATAACATCCTTTGATTCACATGAAAACAACTTTGAACTTGGACTTTTTTTCACATCAAAATAACAAGGTCTCGCTTTGGTTTCATACTGTACGAGTCGTTCTATGGTGAGGATGCCATATATTGACCATAAATGTGGACCTTCATATTAGCCACATGATTCATTTGAATAGTAACTTCACTTAAGTTTATTAAAATGATTCTATGGCTAATATGAAGGTTCATTTGAGGGGTCCATATACGACACCCTCACTATAGAATTTTGCTATATCGCAAATCTCTCTACGACGTACATAGGGCTTTGGATAATTTGTGTTGTGTGGTTAGGCCATCCCCACCATGAGGCTCTTAAATTGTAAAGCCCAATGACATGCATTTTGGGCTCTTAAATTGTAAAGCCCGTCGGAGCAATCTCTATATCTATGGACCTGGATAGAGCCCCTTGAGCCCGAGCAGACAACACCCATATAAAAGCCGATGCCCGCAGCTGTCGGAATACCGTATGATACCGTATGATATCAATATGTTCAGGTTCTGATCCCACAGCCGAGCCCCTTCAGGTTCTGATCCCACTCGCCCAACGCATCTGTTCTTTCTTGCTGTCGGAAAACCGTATGATATCAATATGGATTTAGCCAAAATCATGAATATAAACTGCCATGAGCCTCTTTTTGGTCCGGACTGACATTACTTCGATACAAGAAATAAATGTAAGATATATTTTACATCACCAAATCTAATCTATAATTTGAACAGATTTTGCCTATGGATGGTCTAAAAGCCAAGAAACGTTCTTTAAAAAGTAGTTTGAAATGTTATGTGGCCAAACTTTCATGCTGACTACGTACTGATATGACCTGCCAAACCAATAACCTTGATTGATAGTCCGACAAAAGAATGCTTCTATGAAAAAACAAACATAAAAGCTTCAGCTCAATAAGTTCTTCAAGGCTTTCGAAGGAAAAACTGCATCGAGCCGCAACAGATAACTGTATGTAACAGACTGTCAGACTCAAACAATTGACAAAACTATCTCAAAGCAGTTGTAGACATCCCCCTGATTTTTGCGAACCCCATTACCAGGAAAACTCATTTTGACAGGTTTGTTTAGAAAACGAGTGAAAAATTTGAAGAAAACTACCATTACATATCACCTGCATTATGTGAAGGTTGCAGTGCAGAACTCAGTGAAGCGATTGCCTCGTGGTTTTGGCTACGTTATTTGAAGTTAGAAGTTAGAAGCTCCAAGAGATCATGCATAAGCATCCGAGGATAGTTGAAAGGGAGCATGCTGCAAAATCCATGACATAACAGTAGAAAACTATCAAACTCACCGCCACTACAA